GAAAGCATTCCAGAGCTATGTTAGTTTGCTCAAATCTGCTCTTCTCTAGGTTTACATCTACCGATAATGATTTTCTCCTGGCATGTCTCCACAGACTTACTACTCTAAGTCTCTGATAAAATCCTTTTTATTACACTGGCATGTAATTCTTTGAAAAGACCAAAAAACCCAAAAGGCTTGCTGACCTAAAAAGCTGCTAGATTATCTTCTGAATGCCAGGGAGGGGGAAAGGGAGCTCTTTGATATTTTATAACACTAGTGAGTGACATTTGTGAGCCCAATATCAAAATAACATTGCTAACAAGGAACGGGAATAGAGGATGTATTTTATGTACATTCAATCAAAAGCTGATTAGGTGATAGGAAAGTTAGGAATGCATGTTTGCTGTGAATTCTCTAATCAAAGACAGAGAAAATTGGCTGGGGTACAGGTTAGGACTGGGTGTGTCAGCTAAGCATAACATTTTTTTGGCACAAGAGGGCTTAGCTATCAAGATGATCTGCATGTAAATGCACCTTTGTCATGATTTAAAAATAGCTAGAAAGCACGGTAGGTGGATTGTGTCGATACAGGTGTAGCCTATCGTTCTCAATCTTCATACATTTTATGAAAATACAACATATTTTATTTATTTATTACCTTTTAACTTTTCTTCATGGCTGAGAGCAGTAGAACCAAGCTCAGAAATTGGGAGAAACATAATTGTGTTGGCTGTAGTTGAGCTACACTTCTGCTACCCATGGTAACATACTTGTAGCTATGTAGAGTACTAGGGTCCATATGTTTGATACTCATTTTATGAGACTTACAGATACTTAACACCTCAGAAAATTTGAATCTCAGCTTACATCTTGCAATCAGAATTCTCCTATTATTATTTCAGAAACTGAGGTATTTCAGCAGATCACGTTCTAGAAAGATTTTTAGGAATGGGCCACACCCGTCGGAAATTTTCAGGAGAGCATTCCAGAATTTACAAAGTTTCAAGAATTTTGATGTAATTGCATTTCAGTGCCAGCAAAAAGATATGTAAACAACCACTGGAAACACTGCATTCCAAAAGTCTCCGAATCAGTTTAGATACTATTGTGTTAGAAAATTAAAATAATTTTAATCTGAATAGTGCAAACCTTGTAATTTTTGCTTAGCCTATCTAAAAAAAAAAATCCATTTGGGGAGAGGGAGGGGAGAAACATCTGAAAAAAACAGGTTATGTTGTTAAAAACACTTTTGATTTGTAAGTAAGGGATGTGCCTTTTCCACTGACAGGATAGGAAGGATAGAGCCAGTGTTAGGTTAAAAAATCTCCCATAGCCAAACAAAAGAGTCAATATACACACAAATCTGTTTCACCTACACATTGAAGTAGCATTATATACTGCTAAGAGTGAATATGTCACTCAAAATGCTAATTATCTTGTAAGGAATTGTATTGTCAAGCTCTGCGTGAATTTTGTTTCTGCGTAAGCAAAAGCAAAATTTAAGGAGAGATCTGCCTGCAAAAAGGTGATATAAATAGACTTCTAAATAAGATTCCAAGATGAAAAATAGCACCTTTACATATGTCTAACAAAAAAAAAGAAAAAAAAAAAAAGAGTAACCTTGAATTCATGTGATTTAGTGAACATTCAACTCATAAAACACCACTTACTCATTCTCCTGCTGATTCTTCGTCATTTGTTCTTTAGCATTAACCTCGTGGCTAGGAGCTGTCAACAGTTAAAAAAAATAGAGGAAGCTCAGAGAAAAACCTGCACATATAGCAAAAATGCCAATAAAGGGGAAATATTTTGTTTGTCACTCCTGAGTGAGTAATCAGTATATGTCAGTTTCATTGATTAGATTAGCTGAAAAAAAATTTAAAAAAAAACATAACTTTTTTTGTGGTTTTTTTTCCAAGTTTATATCTCAGTGGAGGTGAAAACTGAAGTAAGGTGGCTTAGAGCAGTGCTACAATGACCTCTTGTGGTTAAATAATAAATGCATATTGGCTCAAAGTATCTTGAAAACTTGCAGTATCAAAGGTTAAATTATGCTCTTAGATCTGACCTGTTTTGTGTTGCTAATGCTGCTTAACCTGAAACAACGTCTCCTCCCAAGCACACTATCAATATTTGTTTAGCTCACTGCTAAAAAATTCTTTTAAAAATATCTCAACCTTTGGACGCCACAAACTTAACAGGTGAGAGTATCATATTTTCTCACGTGGTAATTAGTTAAAGCAAAATCACAGGTCTATGTAAATAAATTCATCATATAGAATGATAATATAAATAAAAACTTATACACTACAAACGTAAAAGAAACCATATAGTGCTAGCCACTCATTATAAGAAATTAGAACAATAGATATCGAACATTATATTGACAGGTTACAACAATAGATATTGAATATATATTTTTATGTAAAACTTTAATGCATTACCTAAGTATATGTATAATGCTTAAATTGTTACTAAAGCTGTCTCTTCTTCTCAATGTTTCTTGCAACAATAGTCAGAGGATTTTCTGATGTTGCTGAATGCAGTTCACCAGCTTAGATCAAATCCTCTGACACCTTATCCCTTAATAGATAAAATCACTCAAGACTTTATCCTGATTTTGCAGTTTCCTGAAATCATTCAAAATGACACTAATTTCATCAAAAAACTTTGCTGAGTGATTATACTTCAAGCGGTCCCGTCAGTATTTATGGATCCATGGTGACGCTTTCTCACTGAAGGATCACCAGTGGTGGTATTTGCACCTGCCAGGCAGTATTCACATGACCTTACTAAATTTAGGGTCTATTGCAAAGCCACTTCTGCACTGGCTGTGCCGTCTGAAGCTTTGAAAGCTCATCGGCAGCATAACCTTGGATTGCCACCAGCTGGATATGTGCCACATTCTGATATGCTGTGATTGCAGCTGGGGGAGGCCTGAATTCAGCTGCTGTGAGATGTTACTTGTTTATGCAACACATACTTTAGAGATCTGTAGGTTAAAATCAAACATTGCTCTTAGTGTACACAATTATTATTATTATTACCTGTCCCTGTTTCTTTTCTTTGAAAAGAAATAAAACAGAGGCTGTCAAGCAAAACACACTAGAAAAAAAAACAACAGCAACCAAAGAGCAGATTTAAGTTAAAATGTGGTTATCTTCATGTGTCAGTAAGGAGGCACTGACAGTGGTCATGTATCCTGAAGAATCTCCCGGGCCTTTGAAACACCATCAACAAAATTCTTCTGAAAACTTCTTGCGTGAGGAGGGTTTGAGCACTGATGGCATGCAGACTTAGGAGACAAAACCAAATTGTTTGTGTGGGGGAGGGAGATGTTTTATTTCTATCGTCTAATAGGCCTAGTCTCTCTCATTCTTATTTAGCTGACCAACTTAAATCTGTAAACACAGCTTACAAGGAGCAAACATCAATACTCTAGGCACTGCTTGAACTCCCAAGTAATTAGAGTTTGAATATCTGAGCATGTGATATTTCAAAATGTCTAAATGTTGTCATTGTTTCCCCTGTCATTGGTTACAGGTGGGGTAATAACCAGCCTGAGACAATTTTAATTTGACCCTCAAGGTGCAGTATCTTCCTTTTCAACTTGGCTGCCAAGGGGCTCGTGGCCCCTTCTTACCCATTGGAAACTCCTGGCCAGCCAGCCAAGAAGCCAGCCAGCCAGTGACCTTCCCAGAAGACAGAGTGGCGGTTTGGACAGCAAATATGCAGGCACCTTTGTGCCTCATCATGTAATCTGCAAAGCCTTGCTGTGCCAGGAGCAAGGTGGTATAGACAGGAATCACCTGGTGAGTACCAAGCTCTCACCAGTCTCTCCCCTCGCGGGAAAAGGCAAGAAGGTCTCATAGTCACAGCCTTGTCTCAGTGGCTGCTGGCTCGTAATTCTTGCTGCAACCACATTTCACCACGAGAGATCAATAGAGAAGCTGTGGTGTATGCCTTCAGCTGACACAATACACCAAACATGTTCAAAGCACTGAAAAACGAGTCTGTGTGTTGAGATGTGGATGGCAGGCAGCTGTTGCTGTTTTATGTTGCTGGTGTTAACCCTCCAACCATGCAGCAACCTCCAGACACCGCATTGCAACTTTCCCGAGCTCCAGTTAACTATGTATTTAAATAGTACCTAGTGTGACATAAGAATTTGCCTTCCAGCAAAGCTTACAGAAATGTATTTCATACACTAGTGAATTCGAGGAGAAAATAGACTTTCTGTGTTGATTACAGAAGCGCAGCCACTTTTACTGTCACCTTCAGGGCACCAAAATCTGAAAGGCAGGAGACTTAATTGTTCAGTATAAAAATGATCGATTTAGCAATTTTGAATTTAAATTGAATCAAAACCAGAAAGTCTAAAAAAGCACTAAATTTGAATACAACCAGAGTATTTTAACTTGGACAAACTATGGTTTTGAGGCAAGTTCTGGATACTAACTTTCAAGGACAATGAAAGTCAAACCCTTCAAAGACTTTTCACCTATGTGCATGACCTAATGCTCACAGTAATTATTAGGAGGCTCTTATACTTTGTATACTTATTTTTTTATAGAGATGAGTAGCAGGAAATTTCCAGCAAGCAAAAATATAAAACCCAAAAATGTTAAAAACCAAAAGGTATGCAGACACACTAAAAAACAACCTAAACTCCATGAATAGACTGTGTTCTGCCACAGCCCTCTATTTCAGTGCTGAAATACTTTTTCATAAGATACTCACTGATAACTTCCTGTTTATAATACAGTTAAGAAATACAAAAATTTTATTCAAGCTTTCTAATGTGCTTTTTTGTTCTTCAATCAGTGCAGAGTATCCTTGTAAGCAGTGCTTAAAACTTGTACTTCCTTTTTGGCTTCTCTTTCAACAATACTAGGGTCATTGTCTGGCTCTGACAGGAGGGAGTTGGATTTTCTGGCTGGCTGTTGAGTAAGCATCAACTAAACTGGAACTACAATAGGAGCAAGAAACAGGAAGAAACCAGTTGGTAAAATACAATCATAGGCTGGCAGGAAATCAGTGACTATTTGTCACTCCTTCTAAAGAGGAGAGAAACAGTTGGTGGCAGATATTCAGTACCATCAAGTATCCAGCAGAGAGATTTCATCTGTTTTTTCTCCATGCCAGGATACTCAGAGTTTTATTTCAATGTAGACCATGGCTACCTGGAGGGTCTGGTCCGAGGGTTCAAAGCTGGGATCTTGACAAGTGCAGACTATGTCAATTTAGCACAATGTGAGACACTTGAAGGTAAGTTTGATGTTTTATTTTATTTAGAAAGAAATACTGTTGCTTAGAAATTTGAAAAAAGCAATATAAAAGACTGAAATATTGAGAGCTTATCTTAAACCCAGAGATAACCCTGATGTCCTTTGAGAACTGTTCTTATATTTAAGCTAATAGCTTTCAATAGACTGTGATTTGTGTGCAGACTTTGATTTACAAAGCAATACAGATGATGGGATTTTCTGGTTTACTGATGAGGTTTCGAAATCTCATCCATGGAGTTATTACGGAGATTGGTAACCTTCTCACAGATTTTAACCATACTGTAGAACAGTTCAGGTATTGAAGTTTCATATCATTTCAACTGGATAAAATAGTTCCAAAAATCTTATTAAAAGCTTACCATTTGGCTCTAAGTTTCTCTATAAAAGAGATATAATTTTAGTAATTTATTGCTTCACGTGTTTTAGGATAATGAGAGACGTTCTGCTTACCAGTAAGAGAAAGCACGACTCCACAGAGATAAAACTTGGGAAAATAGGGGGGGGGGGAAATAAAAGCAAGCTCTTTTCAAGGTGACTTTGCCACAGTAATAAAGAGAACACACAGTAGTTTCCAAAACAGCTTTCCATGGCCAAGACTGGTCACAGCCTGCTCAAGGCAGACTTGTACAAAGAATCATATGACATACCTCTAGACACTTGGCAGGAAAAAAATGCAACAGAAAAAAAAAATCACCTTTCTAAAGGAACATAAAGTTCATTTCCCTGGCTCCAAAATGAAAGCTGTGATTCATCTTGCAGATTCAAACAACTGCACATAGAAATGCACATAGATATTTACCTGTCAGCAGGATTAAATTCTTCTCATAGTTAAAGAAGACATTGTCAGTAAAATCAGTGTGATCTAGGCAATAATCAATCATCCAAGTGCATGTACCTACTTCAGCTGATAACCTGAAGAGCTGTATCAGCTCTCCATTTCATACAGGGTCAGTTCAGACATGGAGAACACATGTATAAAATCACTCTGGGAACTGAAATCTATTCTTTATGTCAGCTGGACAAAATCAACGATGTCTGTATCCTGTATGTTCCAGCACTTGTGATCTATGCAATTTAAAAACTTCACAGACACTCTTCATATTGTATTTAGTTGTTTAAGTCAAAAAGTTCTGCTCCACGAGTATACAGACTTCAGGAAAAGCTAACAGAGTTAGCAAACGTCTGTAAAAGACACAGAAGACAGAATGGGGGGATTATTAAACTTTGCTCTCACTTCACTTCTCCCTCCAGAGGAGTTCGATAAATGATGTTATCTAAATCTTCATGCAGCGAAAAAAAGAAAAAATTCCTAGTTACTTCTAAATAAAAAGAAAATATACAGGTTTAAAAACACACACACAAAAAGGATTATCTATGCCCCTCCCAGAAGAATCTTAGCTAACTTAGCCAGCTAACAGATTCCTAACAGTTACCTACCAAATGCATTATTTATAATGTAAATAAGAGAAATATTGGATTTCTACATGACACTAAACTCTCTGCACGTATTGGATACTGTAATATTGAACTTGCACCAAGAGTGTACAGTGCATCAAAACCACAGACCCCTACCTCTAAAGTAAATTTCATACACTGTCGTTTGCTTCCATTGAAAAGATTCAGCAGTGATTTGTGATGTAGTACTGTGGTGTGTGTCAATAGTGCCATCAGTTCATGTCTTCAAATTAAAAGGTAACAAATTTAGCCTATTCTGCATTCTGTGGCATAGCACCACACCACAAAAAATGGCCTAAGTTAAAATCACTATAAATATGCTAAAACAAAGTAGGAAAAAAAAAATCAAAACCACTCAGAGTAACCCATAAATAGAATAAAAAGGATCTTTTAATTTCAAAGTGGTTTTGATATCTCTAGAGAGGAAACCATAATGTCAGTACAGAAGTACCACAAGAAAAACTGTAGATTAATGCATTACATCTTTTTGATAATCACAGAGCAAGTATAACAGTGAGAAGGAAAGAAAAAAAGGAGACTGCTAACTGACTTATGATACCCCCGTGTCTTCTCAATTCAGGGCCATACAGACAGGCTTCCAGGTTAACTTAGATATCCTTTTGGGCTTGATTGAATTACTGTAATTTCCCTGTGAGCAGCATGTTACTAGTTTGGTCCTATGTCATCATCTGTTTCAAAGGAATGAGATTCCCAGAGCAATCTTGCTGGTAGTCTTTGAAGTAGAGTACTGATGTGTGTTAAATTAAGTGTTTTATTCCTGCCTTACTTATTTGTGTGATGGAAAGACTCCTGTTCTCTAGGAAACTGAGTCATAGGACAAACATTCCACCTCTTCTTCCAACTTATCACTGAAATAAGTTTACCTAACTTGCCAGAGCCAGTACTCACCAGTATGTGGCAGCTGTAATAACAGTGTAACTCAAAGAAAAGTGCAGCTAGTTGGGAATTTGGCCATCAAGGGAGGAGTTAGACAAGTTCCCATGTACTTGATGCTGAGAGACCAGGTTGACACTGTTCAAGTTCTCACAATAGTCTTTCTTTCTGAACAGGATCACTCCTGTCTTAACAGCGTCATCTTAAATTAGTTTCCCTCTGTGCATTAATTCCCTTTACTCATGCTCTTAATTGTGTTTGATTGCTGTTCAATTGTGAGTAAATCATGTGATTTAAAATCACATTATCTAAAGTCATAATTTTCCTATATATAATTTTCCTTTGTATAATTGTATGAGGAAACACGCAATACAGGTGGATGACAATCATACTGACAGCTAAAATACAGGAATTTTCTTTCCTAGGGATCTTGCTGACATGCTGAAAAACCCAGAGAATTTTTAAGTCTCCAAGAGAGCCTAAGAAAAGGAACAGATACCATCAATAAAAAGTTTTGGTGAACAGCAATGTCTGAGATCCCTGTAGTGCTCAGCCATCTAATCCTGCTGGGTCACCAGCTCACGTTACTAGCAAAAGTGTGTCTGAATGAAAGAGTCCCCAGATCTTACTTATGCCAACAACAGAGAACTATAATTTAAGACCAGCAGTTCACACTGTGGTTCATCTGTGGTTCATCTGAAAAGGAATTGAGGAAAGTTGGAGTTCTCTCTGTGTAATAAAGTAATTTTATCTAATTTCACCATATGCCAGGTATTTTTACATACTTTGCAATAAAAAAGAGGAAGTAAAAATGAATAATTTTCACAGGAAATGTGGATATGAAATCAAAATATTATTGATTTAAAAAAAATTAGTCTTACACATTTAGACTCATTTCTTGGTATAACTCTGTGTTTTTATTTAAATCTTAATCTTGCTTATCTTTCTTTCTTTAGTTAGCAGGGTTTCTTTTTGTTCATATTTGGATTATCTTTCTTCTTCCTACACAAAAGCCTGTGCTGAAACTACGATTATTTCCAAGAATCCGATTCTGACTACTGAGAGACGAATTACCTCTGCCTTCTTTTGTAAAGTTTTGTGATCACTTTTATAATTTTAAGAAGCAACTGATTTACACTGCTAGCATAATTTCAGTCTATTGAAGGAATATCCAGAGAAATCCGAACAGATCCAAAGTGCTAGCTGAGTAAGGCTGTCCTATGTAAGAGTGTGTTGATGTGATCTGATACTGTTTTGATGGTTAGACTATTTGGTGAATAAGAAATGGGTGAGTGGTTGCATCCAGAGCGTAGTGGTCAATGGCTCAGCGTCCAGATGGAGCTCAATGACAAGTGGTGTCCCTCAGGGGTCTGTATTGGATCCAGTACTGTTTAACATCTCCTTCAATAACATAGGCAGTGGAATTGAGTGCACCATCAGCAAATTTGCAGATGACACCAAGGTGAGTGGTGCAGTTGACACACCTGAGGAATGGGATGCCATTTAGAGGGATCTAGAAAAGCTCAAGAATTGGCCAAATGTAAGGCCCTGCACCTTGGTCAGAGCAAATCCTTGTATCAATAGAGGCTGAGACAGGAAGGAATTGAGAGCAGACTTGTGGAAAAGGACTTGGGAGTACTGTTGGGTGAAAATCCAGGCATGAGCTGACAACGTGTGCTCACAGCCCATAAAACCAACTATGCCCTGGGCTGTATCAAAAGAAGCTTGGCCAGCAGGTTAAGGGAGGTGATTTTTCCCCTCTACTCTGCCCTTGTGAGATACCACCTTGAGTACTTTATCTGTCTCTGTAGTGCACAACATAGGAAGGACATGGACCTGTTGGAGCAAGTCCAGAGGAGGTCCATGAAGACGATTGATGAGCTAGAGCACCTCTCCTATGAGTAAAAACTGAGAGAGTTGGGATTGTTGAGCCTGGAGAAGGCTCCAGGGAGACTGTATTGAGGCTTTTCAGTACCTATAGGGGGCTTACATGAAAGATGGAGACAAACATTTTAGTAGGGCCTGTAGCAATAGGTCAAGGGTAATGGTTTTAAACCTAAAGAGAACAAATTCAGACTAGTTATAAAGAAGAAATTGTTTACAAGAAGAGTGGTTAAATGCTGGAAGAGGTTGCCCAGAGAGGCTGGAAACATTCATGGCCAGTTTGGATGAGGCTCTGAACAACCTTGAATGGCAGCCAACTTGCATAGAAAACTCTGAGGTTTATCTCAGTAAGCTAGAGTGCTAGATGTAGGGGTTTGAATTCACAATGTACTAATTGCTTTAAGTCTCAGTGTAGGCAACCTTATTGCATACTAAGAAAGCATATGCATGAGAAAATAGGCAAAAGTAGCTAATTTGCAAATTTGCTAATTTGCAAAAAGTTTGCTAATTGCAAATTAACTTCCCTTACAGGTACACCATTATTTCAGTCAGTGGGAGGTTGTTGTCCTTTTCCATAACTATCACTTCAGATTTTAGATGGAAATCTAATTATTATGAATGTTCAAAACATGTAACAATATCCCAATCTATAATTTACAGTAGTTTTAATATAGAATTTGAACATAATTATCCATTGCAGCAGGAACTTTTCTAAAAGGAAATGTTAAACTCCTTTGAACACTAAGAACTGATTCAAATTCTTACTTTTCGCTCACGGTAAAAAATGGATAGCAGAGAAAATTTGTCAAACAAATTCTTTGATAGCATGAAAGCTTCTTTCAACTTTGTGGTCAAACTTGTTTTCCTCAGTCACCAGGGTTGAGAGCTCAAATGGAATATGTCACAATAACCCAAGTTTTTGGAACAGCTTCTTAGAATTTTCTAGTCAGAGCCATAAATCATACAAAGCCAAACCAGAAATGCTAAGAGTGTAACTCTGCCCTCTCAAGTGTTCCACTGCAGAAGCCATTTGGAGTCCAGAACGTGAGCTAGGCAAGATGTGTTCTCTCCTCTTCTTCAGGTAGCCTGATAGCAGAAGATTATAATCTTACCTGATGTTTAAAAGTTTCGTACAAAAATTTAAGATCTTAATGAAGGTAAAATATGATTCCTATTGATGCATAACAGCCTGTAGGAGTGCAGCAGATGAAACAACTAATGTATTATGATGGTGCAAAATCAGTGAAACCGAAACATTGAACAAACCTGATGAGGAGTAGTAAGTAACACTCTGTGTGGCATGGCTGAAAAGCAAAGTTGCTGGTGAAACTTCTGACAAAGGTGTAAATTATTTGTTCTTTCCTGTTCTTTCTTACAAGCAGTAAGTCTTACGGGTAGAACACAGTATAAATTTACATTAATTTTACTTTTACACTATATACTAAACCGATGTAAAAAACTTTTCAGTAGAGGATGATCAGATGTTTAGTGTGAAACCATGTAAGAAATTAACATTTAATTTTTTAAATTTGGTGTGCAGACAAAAAAAATAACAGTTTATTCTCATGATCTTCCCTGAATCTAATTCCAGACCTGAAGTTACATCTACAAACCACAGACTATGGCAACTTCTTGGCTAACGAAACTGGGCCTCTCACTATTTCCACCATTGATGATAAACTGAAAGCAAAACTGCTCACGGAATTTCATTACTTTAGAAACCATGCTTTTGAACCACTTGCCACTTTTCTGAATTTTATCACGTAAGTAATATTATGACATAGCTTACCACTCAGACTCAAAATAAAAAAGTAGTTAAAAGTTAAAATAGTGTAAGTGCAATGTGTTGGAATTTCTACTAAACTTCAAACCCAGCAAAATTCCTTTGATGCTGCAACACTTACATACTTTATTTGCAAATATAAGTTCATCATATACATTTATATGTATAAATACTATCTGTATCTGTATATAAATATACTATATGTATAGCCTTTGTAACTATTTATTTTGAAGATCAGAAGCACATTCTTTATGTGTACAGTGGCAGGAGAAGTACTAGATATTGGGAAAAACAGTCATAATTTTCAAACAACTTTTAAGTCAGAGAACTTGCAAAACTGAAGTTTGGGGTGATGATTCGTGCAAGATTAACAATTTCATGATGTATAGGGCAGTGATTTAATTCCTCAGCATGTGGCAAGTTCTAGGCCTTTTTTAAAAGGGGGAACAACACCACACCCAACCCTACCATACTTTTTATACTATTTGAATATCAAGATCAGAACTTTATGTTGCGTATTGCAAGATACATAGGTTCAAGTAGCTACTTTTAAAAGTTCAACTGCTTTTTGATGCTAGATGAAGAGAAAGCTCCAATCTCAATACCATCATAAACAGATGAAAGTTGTAAATGGTTGGCTTAAACAACTTTAGGAAGAGGGATCTGCTTTATAAGAGTTTAACAACATGGATTAGCCCAATGCCATAAACATCCCAAGGGAATAGCATTCCCATTTCCAAGCCACGGACAAAAGCTCTTATCAGCCTCTTAGACAAGAAAACTAGTAAGATGATAGAAAACTTCTACTGAAAAGAGTGATAGAGAAGTGATAGTGATAGAGAAGAAATCTGTGGGAACCTGTCCTTCATTTTCTCATGGGATGATGTTTAAAGTTGAGTGAGAAGAAAGGCCTAAGACTGGACATCTGCATGAATTCTGCTGTTTTAATAAAAAGATTACCATACACTTCTCTGTCCAGTACCCCCTGCTTTGAGTCTCTTTTCCAAAACAGTCATGTTGTTTAAAACTAATGTGGTGTTACTTACCTGCAGAAGTTTAAAAACTTCTGTTGGTTTTTTATGAGCTGTTCATACTGAGTGAACATACACACTAATAATACTTTTTAGTATTATTGTTAATTTTCAAAAATCTTAGGTTTGTATTTTTTCAAATGAGAAATTATAAAGATAATTTTTTTTTTTTTACTTTTTCTTTCAAATACAGATACAGCTATATGATTGACAACGTAATTCTTTTAATAACTGGCACATTACATCAGCGACCCATAGCTGAACTTGTTCCCAAGTGCCATCCACTGGGAAGCTTTGAGCAAATGGAAGCAGTCAGCATTGCCTCAAACCCCACCGAGCTCTTCAACGCAATTTTGGTTGACACACCATTAGGTAGAAACACTAAATTTTTTCTTACTTTCTTCTTGAAACTATTAATCCTGTATTCTTAAGAATAACATATTTCCTACTGGATATGTTGTTTTGCTAAAACAAAACATGAAGTATGGATCAAGCACTTCTGAAGTGGTGTTCAGGACATATTATGGTAGTGTTTATTAACAGCTTCTATATCCACCTTGGATAGCAGACACAAGAAAACACGCTACTCAAGAAGTGTAGTGTATGTCTTTTATATCTGAAGTAGTCACTGATTTAGAGCATCTAGATCTTTTATTTCAACACCTACGTCTATAATTTCAAAGTATATCCTCACTAAAGATCAAGCAGACAGCTACTAGTATTAGATATTGTGGTAGAACCTAAATTCTCTCTTGAGGTTTGGACATGGTTCAAATATAAAGAGAAGTCCTATTTTGAAGAACTAAATTTAAAAGCAAAACAAAGAAAAGTTTGGGAATGTCACATTATGAAATTAAGATGAAACTCTGCTCAATGTGCTGCTGCAGCCAATACAAACAAAACCTAACAAGCTGTGGGGCACTACTGTGAAGGGTACTGAGAATAAGATGGAACTGGATGCATCTGAACATATGTGAAACCATTATGTGCCCTCATCTTCAGACCAGGAGGGATTTTGGGTTCTGCTTCTCAAGAAGGTGTGGTAGGTTGGCCCCAGAGAGAAAACAGATTCCCACCCAGCCACTTGCTCATGCCCTACTCCCAGCACAAGTTAAGATCACCTACAAAGTATTGTGGAAGGTAAAGCAGACTCAACCTGGGGAAATTAGCTTGATTTATTATTGATTAATATGAATATAATGTAATTAATTACTGATCCAGACAATAGGAAAAAAGCAGAAATGAATGAAACATTTAGACACTTGGGAAAATATCTTTCCTCCAGCCTTTTCCACTCCTTCATTCCAGGCTCTTCTTTTCCCCCCTTAATTATCACTGCAAGTTACTCTTCACCCCTCTAGAGAGGCAGTGAGTGTCATAAGAAGTGGGGGGAGCTTAGAGTCATAGAATCAAAGAACAGTTTAGGTTGAAAAGGGCTTGAAAGATCACCTAGTTCCAAACCCTTCTGCTAGCCCAGGTTGCTCAAAGCCCCATGCAACATGGCCTTGAACAATTCCAGGGGCGGGGAAGTCACAACTTCTCTGGGCAACCTCTTCCAACATCTCACCACCCCCACAGTAAAGAATTTCTTCTAATATCCAAACTAAACTTATGCTCTTTCAGTTTGAAGCCACATCTTCTTGTTCTATCATGCCCTTGTAAAAAGTCCCAATCAGATACACTTGCTTGGCTGAGAGGCTCAGCTGTGCCCTGTGCTGGATCCTTGTTGGAGCTGGATGTGTCCAGCAATGGTGTCCAGCAACGGGCAGCCCCGGCTTTCCCTCACAGAGGATGCCCTGCAGCACGCCCCCATGAGCACTTGGGCACCAGCATCCTGTACAGTGAAATCAGAGAAGGGACAGAGCAGGACAGCTAGAATGAACAGGGCTGCTATGCATGGACAGACCAAAAATGCCGGACTCCAGTTTGGAGTGGATAAGGGTGATAAAGAGATAAGGACAAGGTTTAGAGTCCTAAGGGCAGAGGTTTGTCCACAGTAAGCTACGAACTACTGCTTACCAAATCCCTCAGAAGACCAAATCCCAGCAGAAAACCAGTTTTAGAAGAGGTAAACTAAAGTAAACTACCTTTTTTTTTTTTTTTTAAACATAGCTAGTAGTAAATTTCTGAATTTTTTTTTTTTTTTTTTGCTAAAGAAGTTTGTAAATGACAGAAGCATTAGATCTTTAAAACAATGGGACCAATCTACAGGGTATAGATCTATGAGGAGATACTACCAGGAACTCTCAGGGCCACACCTCCTGGTGTTCTCCATCCAAAATCTGGATACTGGAAGAGTAGGAAGGGAGAAGACCACAGAACATGGCCAGGGTCACATGCTCTCCTTAAATACCATCTTCCATCGCCACTGTTTGAGACAACACTGACATGCAGCACTGCTTTGCTCCCCGGCAGAGCTCAGGAACGGTAAGAGTTTGGCACACGTTTGTTGGTTATGAATACAGTATTTTTAAACAGTCCAGCTGCACAAATGTACTTTGTCCAACTCTCTTCCTGCTCAAAAGCTTGCTCTCGACTCAGTTCTGTGCAGCATCCGGAAGCACAGATGGTCGAGGTCAAAGCTTGTGCCCTTTACCAGTTGCAACCTGTTGCTTTTCCCCCGCTACAGACATACTCGAAGAAGAGGGAAAGTAGGAAAGAGGATTCTCCTTAACAGTTGAAGAATACCTGCATGATTTAAGACAAAATTGTTTTTCATGTCTCTCACTTGAAAATCTCCATAATACCCAAACTATATACTTCAGAGAAGATTAGGGCTTTCATTAGCATTCCCATCTGATTCGTTCTGGAGACGTGGACTCTGGCTGCAGCACTGATTGATTCTCATTAAAATAGGAGGGAGTAGGAGGATAAGGGCAAAATCAAGAGGATTTCTCTTCCTCTCTGTTATATCACTCTTTCTTGTACAACAGGAACCTCAGATCCTTGTTCACACACTGGTGAGCAATAGACAGGAGATGCATATTATCAGTATGCAGATTTATTACTACAATATTGTAAACTCTGCTTTCAGCTGCTTTCTTTCAAGACTGCTTGTCTGAAAATGACCTGGACGAAATGAACATTGAAATAATGCGCAACAAACTGTACAAGGCAAGTGTTTGCAACATAACAATAATATTTGGGGTTTCTCAAAGCGTCTCAGAAAAGGTCAGGATCATTAACCCTGTTTTATGGAGGGGGAAAGAGAAGCATGGTGAGATAAAGCAAGCTGTCTGAGATCATCTGGTTGATTTCAAGTCCAGGAATCAAATCCAACTCCTCTCCTTTCTACTCCAATGTTTGGGGAGTTTTAAAATTGTAGGTCTGCATCCAAATTCTAGTTTAATATCTCATTAATGAAAATGCTTTAGATATCAGGCTAATTTCCAGATCCATTTGTTTATGAATAACCCAGTTATCCACCAAATGCCACAGAACTGTTAGCTCCTAAGCAAGCCTAGACAGGCTTTGGTTAACATTTATTTTTATTTTTATAAGGAAGATTTGATTTGGAAAAGTCTAATTGTTTTGGATCTAGCTAACATGATTTTTACTTAAGGATTTTGTATTATTTTCTCCCTTTTAAAATCCTCTTTAGCACTGCTACAGTACAATGCTGTAAGGATATGCATCTAACATGACTTGCATTTTCAAAGTACTTTACAAATATTAGCACACAGGTCACTACTCTTTGGTCTCTTTAAAGGCTATACATACTTCATTCCACTAATGGTTCCTCCTGGCACATTTTCTCCAAATTCTTTGTTATTGTTCTTTCACAGTGGATGCCTCAGACTGCAGGAAGTATATTCTTACAGTGATCTGATTGTACTAGGGAGAAAGAAAAAAATCTTCTATTTGTCTTACAAATGATATTTATAAATTCCCAAGCCAATTCTTTATTGTTAAACATTTTGCTACTTCTCTCATTCAAAACAGCATCAATTATACACAAGCATTTTAATTTTTTTCATATATTTAAATTATTTCACAATATTACTAAACTAGACACTCTTTTTTGATTTGATAACATACATATTTTATTCTTATATCCTGCGTGGATATTTACATTAATATATCTACATTTATTAAATCTATTTTTTGATTTTTCTTCTTGCTCGTCTAAGTATTAGGGGGATCATTCTGCAAACATATCTAAATTATTAATGTATCCTTTCTCCTCTGCTTCACCTGTCAATATGATCAATTATGCTTCAGCTCTACTACTATATTTCCATGCAGTAGATCCTCCTTGAGATCTCTGCTTAAAATTCACTTAACTGCATAGTTAGTGACAACCTCTTCTAACAAGATTGTGCAAAGTTGTAGCAAATACATTTTTATAACATAAATATTCCCTAAGACAGTATTGGGGGATGGAGAGGTGGGAGGAACAGCATCTCTGAGATATTTACTGTCTTTGCTGCACAGGTAGTTTGAAATGGGTGCAGATGCCAGAATCCTTAATAGATCAGAGGGCTCTGACGACCAGTATTACAGAAGCTTCGTCTGCTGTTCCGTCCTAATCCAGGGTTTAGGGTAGAGCAGTAGGGATTAATTTGTGTATCCTCATACTGCTGGCCCAACGGCCGTGGCATAAGCCCAAATCCCCTCCTCCACACACTATAAATGAAGAGTTCCCTTCAGCCATCTGCTTATTATGCAGTGGAAACTCAATGGAGCTCAAAAAGTTCCTTCTTTAGAGATCAAATAAAACATAATATTTGTCCTATTATAGTTTTTGAAAACATTTGAACTCAAGTTGTAATAGTAATACATTTGAATTTTAATATTGCAACTTTCAACTAAGTAATTAAGCACATACTTGAATGTGAACTCATAAGTGGAATTATCAGAGTTAACAAAAGCATTTAAAAGTGAGGTTCATGACTATGTGCTATCCTGGTCCAGATCTTAAGCAGTGTTTAAAATATTTTTCTTCTTCTTTCATGAAGTCTTATCTTGAGGCATTTTATAAGTTTTGTGAAAAACAAGGTGGCACTACAGCAGAAATAATGAGACCTATTCTCGAGGTAAGACAAATTTGGTCTTTATACATTAAAGTATTCCACAATGTTGTTATATTTATCTTATTTTGTTTTTCCTGTTCCTCTCTCTCCATTTACAAAGTTATCTGTCAAGTGTTTACTTCTCCTCTAAATATACTTGTTTTTCTAACATGTAATATGTTCTAGGATGACTTTTACCTCTTGACTAGAGAAACAGATAGGCCACTACTAGGGAGGAGCCAATCTCAGTTAATATTTTTCTATAATAAAGAGCACAACAGAGTAATGGGTTCACTAATCTCAAATGGTTGCCATTTAACATTTTTCTGCATTATGTAGAAAAACTGAATAAGTCATATATTCTTACACTTTCTAGAGCTCAAAATTAAATTTGAGATAGTTAAGGGCTGGTATTACTGTATATTTACTAATCAATAATCCTTAAGCTTTGTGGTACTGTTATGTTTGTCTACTCTCCTATTAAAAGTAGGGGTTGAAGTTAAAGTTGAGTGACCTTTGGAACTAGTGTCATATAAAAAAGTCCAACATTCTATGATACATTTTTCTCTCAACTCAGAAAAATTTAATATTTATTTTTTCCATGACATACAAAATTCCTAATGTTGTTCTCCCTAAAGCATACTCGTATCATAATGAGTGATATTTTTGTCTCTGTTACTGCAATAAAAGATGCAGAGATTTCTAAAACTGAGTTCTCAGCATTCAGCTCCCTGTTTCTCTCTTTTTTTTTTTTTTTTTTTTTTCCCCACATGCTTTATCACTATTCTTTGCAGAGGTTGAGAGCCAGATCACCCACTTGTTTCCAGGAGTCTTTTTTCTGGATAAGCAAAATTTACACCCTGGAAGCTGAACAAGATTCACTGAGCTCTGATGACATCAGAATGAAAGTTTGAATTTAGGAGAGAGCTAATAACCATGGGAGCTCATTCCTGAAGGAAGAATGATTTCTAAATTACATTTTACAGAACAATATCCTAAACCAGATTGCAATTTCATATTTTATTTAACCAGGTCACAGTGTTTCAGTTTATGCTCTAAACAAAATATTCCTAATCAAGTTAAATTGTACAGAAATTAAGCATTTTGACTATTTTCTGAAAAATAAAAATCAAGAGATTGGCTGGCAGAGATAAAAGTATTTCCTGCAGTTGATTCAGATTTTTCAGAAAGTTCATTTTTAGCTGGAAATTCGTGCTGAGAGCAGATTATTCACGAACATTAGTTTAAGCATGTTGCAAAACTATCTTTATACCAGTGGTAACAATTTAGTCTATGATAAGCTTCTTTAAAATCCCTATCTAATGTCAATCAGCCAGGAGGATAAACTTTTCTATGGAAGATTTCCTTTTCTATAACATTTTAATAATCTGAAGACACATGCAGAGCAGATCACTAATGGTTGGATTCACAAAAAGCCAAAGTTTAATTATTCAAAAGAATACTTGCTATTTATTTTGTAATCTTATATGTAAGACTACCAACCTGACTCTATCAGAATGAGGTTGAGGTATTTAGCTCCCCAGCTCCTTGATACCAGCCACGATACCAACCTTCCACATTAATAGTCCTGACTCTCTTCCACCTTGAGCAACACACACTGCATGTTTAACTCTGAATCTGTCAAGAAACTGCAGGACTGCACTGCAGCCAGTGCTGTGCCTGTTATCAGGGCCCCATGCTAATCCTGAACTAGCAGACACTCTACTTCTGTCTCGTGTGTGGAAACTAAATCACTTTGTAAATGGTCATCTTCTGACCCCACCTCTACCTGCAGCAAGTTGCCAAGTAACTGCCTCATGGCCTCACTCACTATGGAGAATCTCACATGCTAATAATTTGATGAATTGAGAGGTCTGCATGGATGGGAATGATCCTGCAAATTTTCTCAAACTGGGAGCCAACAGGAGCAGAACCCAAACCTGCTAGCAATTGCATCTAGAATGTTTTTTACCAAAAAAAATATTACAGATTTAACCCCTAGATTCTACATGACTTTATGGAGTTAAAAAAAAGAGAGTATGTATCCTTCTAAAACAGTTTCACTAGGACTGATATGTCTGATCATATTAAACAGGAAAGTGAAATTTGGCCCTGTTATTCATTAGCTAGAAATCTTTTCAAGCACACTTATTTTCTTCTATATTGTTTACTCATTTTCCTTACTCCAAAGTCAGTGCCAGGGGGTGGCTGGTTCCTGTAATTGTTTGTGCCAGTACACAGAAGTAGATCTGTGAATATGCATTTAATGGCTAAAGTGGTAGATTTGTGTTGTAACTGCAGCCTTATTATTCAACAGAAAAGAGTATATTTCTGCTTAAAATAGCTCAAATATTCACAGCATAAGAAATTTTGTAAGATGCCGAAAATATGCATATACTGTATATACTTAGAAGACTTTCCTTGCATAATCCCTGCAATTAGCAAGGACTCTGCTGTTCTTACAATGTGAAGCTAAGAAATAAAGGAAACAAACAAAAGCGTAGTCAATTTAGTTCTCAAGACAGAAGAAAAAAATTAAATCAGAGAGAAAGGAGGAAAGATATTTTTATTTACTATTGTATTTTTAATTCATACTGTAAGAATGGCAAGTGAAATTTTGCCTGGTGCAAAAGAACAACCTGAGGTATAGACATTGGAATGATTTTCAGTCTACTGCTGCACTGCAAATACAGATACTACAGCCATCTAAACCTGGCAGAAGAAATATAGCCTTTGATTCTATGTATTAAAAATTAACTGGTATTTGAAACACTTAAAACTTTAACTTGGTAAGTAAACAGCTCCCTCCACCATATTAAATTAGCATTTTAAATATGTGCATTCAGAAACTGTTTTTTTTTCAGGATTTTCATTCAACCTTTACTACCAACAACACCTGGAGTTACCCCAGAACACTGCTATTGATTCTCAGTCCTTTCCTGTACTATTATTATTTATAGGAGTGTTATGTCACATGTGAGGGTGTGAGGAGATTTTTTTGTTGTCAACATCTGGGTAACTAAGCAGGGAAATGAGCAAGCAGCAGAGATGATATTTTTAGTACAAAAATCACAGAATAAAAGCTGTGGTTGCAAAACCCTGTTTGATTTCCTAGTTAAAATTTAACATATACTTGCATAGAAGGATTTACAGTTTCTAAAATAAAGTAGGTTTCCAATGCTCTCGAGTCGACTTTTTTTTTTTTAAATTTTCATAGTTTGACTTACTAAAAAAATACAAAACATCCACACCTTAATTTAGAATGAAATGCCTAATAAAACACTTCTTTATTCTTTGTTTTGCATATTAAGTTTGAGGCAGACAGACGTGCCTTTATCATCACCATTAATTCATTTGGCACTGAGCTGAGTAAAGACGACCGAGAGAAGCTGTATCCAACCTGTGGAAAACTCTATCCAGAAGGCTTACACCTGTTGGCCAATGCAGATGACTACGAGCAAGTGAAGTGTGTTGCAGAATACTATGCAGTATGTAAATTAATTTAATAAAACAAAAGGCCAAAACACAAATACTTACATCTCTTGATGTCAGCAAAATTTTAAAGAGTATTCACACAAGTTAAAAGCATTTTCGAGAGAGGAAAAAATCAGCAAAGAGACTAAAGTTCCCATCAAGATGTACATGGAATTAAAGGTCTTTGATATGAAGACATAAGAAATATTATTACCTTCATGCAATAGAGAGATCCTCTTACAGTGATGTTTAAATAAGACCAAATCACATCCTAATAAACAAAGTCTTTCTACTCTGTTTACCCTCCCCAAACTGAGTTTCTCTTCACAGCTGCTGCCTCCAAGATTTTGGAGCATCGGCATGAGTCATTTCAAAGTGAGCTGGTCAAACACTTAACATGGTGCAAAGCTGATTTATTGCTACTCTACTGTAAAAATTTCCTTCTGAAAAGTTTTCTCTAAATTACTAATTGACTCAAAGAAGTAGATGAAGTTGTTAATATTGATACAAATAGTACTGTTACTACAGATTAATCAACCTACAACACTTGACCTATGAATCAACTGTTGTACTCTGCCTACCTATAACATTTGTGCTACCCCCAAGGAGTAGCACAAAACAAAATGTTGTCTGGTCAACTGCTTTTTCCCATAAAAACCCCACAAAGCTGGAACTGTACATCTGATCTTGTGCATAAGCAGAGCACTTGAATCATGAGTTACCATGTCAATTTGGTACAAAACAAGACCATTCATGTGATGGCGGGATATTTAGATTAACTTGGAAACGATTTTATTAGACCTGTACCACACTTCTACTTTATTGGAACAACAAACCAAACCCACAGAGAAGGAAATTACACAGAAATGTAACATGCAAGAAATCAAGCCAAATATATCTGCACAGGATGTTCCAGGATGTCATATCAGACAAATGGATTTGGGGAAAATATTAATGTAGGTAAGGCAAGTCCAGCTGACTATCGGAAATAAAATGAGCAACCATGTGAGGATCAGAGTTCATAGTTTTGGCTCCATTTACAGCTCTGGCTATTTGTACAATTTGTACAAGAAGTTCAGTGCTCTCTGTCCAAAGGAGTGAAAGGTCACGTGTCTTTCTACAATAAGTCTCTTTTAGTGCCTTTAGTAAATTACTTTAAATTGTAGGAAATGACAGTAAGAAATACAAGAACAAATGTGATTTTCTTTCTTTTGCTGACTATGCTTTTAACTTTTGATTTATGAAGAACTGTAATCTATACATGAGTTTTTCTATACAGAAGGATTACTTAACATAGATTAATTCATAAAGTAATGTAAGGTATCTGTGCTGCACAGAATGCAGAAGTACCTTATTTCCATGTGGTGGTTTTCTATGCTTTCAGGAATACAAGGCTGTGTTTGAAGGTGTAGGGAGTGGCAGTGGAGAAAAGACACTGGAAGATGCATTTTTTGAACATGAGGTAAGAGCTTCTAACCTTAAAATAAAAAAATGAAAGTTACCCACCTGAAATAATATTTAAAACAAGAATGAGGTACTACGCCTTTGATTCTACTATAATGCATCATTCAGCTTTGTGTTCAAGAATATGGATTTTCTATGGCTGTCAACAAATGGCTGAGTCAAAATACAAGGATTTACCTTTTTAAATAAAATTAATCCTAGGACATTCTTCTGAAGACTGACTATAGGGTTGCCAAATCTGAGAATCTGTCCAAAAGACATCTCATATTATCCACTTAATGAAATTTCTTTTAAGTAGTCCACTGAACAAGGTATTTAACCATTATCCTTTATTTCCTGTAAAGCTGCTGTAATCTATTTCCAAAATTATTTCACAGATGACATTCCAATTACATCTATACTCAAGAGACTGCTAAATATAGTCATGGTTGCAAAGTTACATAGGAATCTTGATCAGAAAATCTACCATAAAAAATCACATTTGCTTTCTTTGATATTTTATCCTAGAATCATAGAATCAGACGGGTTGGAAAGGACCTCTGAGATAATCAAGTCCAACCCTTGATCCACTACCACCACAGTTACTAGACTGCGGCACTAAGTGCCACATCCAGTCTCTTCTTAAAAACCTCCAGCGACAGAGAATCCACCACCTCCCCGGGCAACCCATTCCAATGCCTGATTACCCTCTCCGTAAAGAATTTCTTCCTAATATCCAACCTAAACCTCCCCTGGCAGAGCTTGAGACCATGCCCTCTTGTCTTACTGATAGTTGCCTGGGAAAAGAGACCAACCTCCACCTGGCTACAGCCTCCTTTCAGGGAGTTGTAGAGAGTGATGAGATCACCCCTGAGCCTCCTCTTCTCCAGGCTAAACAATCTCAGCTCCCTCAGCCTCTCCTTATAGGACTTATGTTCCAGTCCCTTCACCAGCCTCATTGCTCTTCTCTGGACCTGCTCCAGCACCTCAACATCTTTCCTGAACTGAGGGGCCCAGAACTGGACACAGCACTCCAGGTGTGGCCTCACCAATGCAGAGTACAGGGCAAGGATCACTTCCCTCGTCCTGCTGGCCACACTGTTCCTGATGCAGGCCAGGATGCCATTGGCCTTCTTGGCCACCTGGGCACACTGCTGGCTCATGTTCAGCTTCCTGTCGATCCAAAATCCAAGGTCCCTTTCTGCCTGGCTGCTCTCCAGCCACTCTGTGCCCAGCCTGTAGCGCTGCAGGGGGTTGTTGTGGCCAAAGTGCAGGACCTGTCACTTGGCCTTGTTGAACCTCATTCCATTGGAATCAGCCCAACTCTCCAGTCTGTCCAGGTCCCTCTGCAGAGCCCTCCTGCTTTCCCATAGGTCGACACTCCCCCCCAGCTTGGTGTCATCTGCAAATTTACTAATGGTAAACCAAATCCCCTCATCTAAATCATCAACAAATGAAATCAATAAAAACATAACATGTGTTTCCTCTTTTCTGCAGGTAAAGATGAATGTGCTTGCATTCAACAACCAGTTTCATTTTGGAGTATTTTATGCCTATGTGAAGTTAAAGGAACAAGAATGCAGGAATATTGTATGGATTGCTGAATGTATTTCTCAGAGACACAGAACCAAAATTAACAACTACATTCCCATTTTTTAAATCTTAGAATCTATAATGCCTGAAAAGATGCATAATTTCTTAGAATATAGGAAAAATCCTTTTTCAAAAGTTAGCTCTTACCAGATGTTTTAAATTGTATTAATGAGCCTCCCTATATATACCAGTATAGGAAAAAAAAATCTTGTAATTAGAGATATGAGTACTTCATAAGGAAATATTCATGGTAATATTAATAGTTTTGTTGGTAGATTTGTTCCCCACTCTCCTATTTTAATTTAATTGATCAATAAAAACTTCATGCAAAGTCTTAAATACATATTCTTTCTCTTTTGTGGAAGCAAGCTTTGTATCAATGACATTTGAAAAGCTCTTTAATAGCTTATTTTTGAATTAATGGCTTTCTCAAAGGGCCAATTAAACCACTACTATCTCACACTTAGGGTCTTTTTCATGGCACACAAGATTGTATGAAGGAGTTAATACACAAATAAGAGGGAAAGTCTGAGATTTCCCTTAACAAGTCTCAAGAGGGAACTTCTTGACCCTACCTAACTGTAACACCTCTCTGCAACTAAATGTAAATCACAGAATCACAGAATATGCCAAGCTGGAAGGGACCCACAAGGATCACGGAGCCCAACTCTTAGCCCTGCACAAGATCATAAGTAATTCCAATTTCATTGAGAAGTTTTCATGTATTCCTTTATGATCAAATGATGTGCACTGTAAGGGTCAAACAGTGGGCCTCTGATCTACTCCACAGCAACACAAATATCTCCACCCAGCACATCAAAGACACAGTCTTTATGTATGCACTAGGGAAGATTACGAAACATGAATGAAAATACCAACCAAGTCTGTATCAGTTTTACATCAGACACAAACAACACCAGCTCTGAGCTATTTGAGGACCTGGCTAAGATCAGTAACTAAAAATAGAGTGAAGAGTTGAAGCCAGATTTTAGCAGGACAAGATTAATTCTGCTGAAGAAAAAGGAAGTATTTTGAAAGCCATATCAACATTTTGCCTTCCTATTTCATTCAAAGAATTTACCCTTTTATCTTTTAAATAGGCCGCACCTTGGCTTTCTGCATGACTCCTCAGTTTCAGGCTGCACAACAGCAAATTTCAGTCTTCAGCTGACTGTTCCTTCAGTAATATGATACAGAAATACAATCCACTTCCTGCTGAGTAGACAAAAAAATAAAATATATCTGATGTCAACACCTCGGACTTATGGAAAACATGTAGGTATCGTGGTTTTAAGAACTGAGACATAATACAGCTCTCTATAATACGTACATGTGAACATGCATTCATACATAAAAAACTAGAAAACTTTGTGGTTTCTTATAGCTAAAACTACATTTCTTAAATGGTAACTGTCATCAGAGGGTTATATCCCAGAACGTTGCATACTCATTTGATGCACAATTGAGAAGTTTTACTATTTACTGTATTGTGAATATCAGAGGACCTTATATTATTACTTAAAAATATGTTCATAGTTTCCTTTAGAAGTAATTTAGTAGGAAGTTAGAAAATTTAACTAAAAATTAAAAAAGGAACTGAAGATTTCTGGATTGCAGTTTCATTTTGGCATGTGTAGTTGCTTCCTTGCACTGCTTTTATGTTGGACTACTTAATTTGCATTTCCCAGGCTAATTTGTGACCAATGCTTTCCAGTTCATACCTATATCACAAACTGCATCGTAAACTTTAAAAAAAAAAAACAATGGAGAAAGAAATAGAACTATATTGTCACAAATTTTCAGATTTTTTTTCTATAGTTTTTAGTAATCGCATTAAAAAATTGTTGGGAGCAGAATAACAAAGTCAGCGGGTCTGTGACACAAAAACTGAATTAAAACAATTCAGCACAGTGCATGAATACTTTTTCTGTACTGATAAATCAAGCCTCCTTAGCTGAACAAAACAAATCAGCTGGATTCCTGCCAAGAATTTTCTGAAGTGATTTGAAGGGGAAAGAATCTGTTCTCCACCCTAAATCATTCTGTGCCAGGGAAGATATGCAGCTGCTATTGCTACAGTCTGGATACTGTTGGCTCAGAAAGAAATGAGCAGGAATTGCAGCTTACATGACTGTATTGTCAGCAGAACTTGTCTTTATACTTTGGAAAGGACAGCATCAGTGTTGATCTTTTTTCAAAACAATTTCTAGATATTTGCTAAATGAGGACAGGAGGTACCAGGCCCTAATTATAGCCAACTTAAGGTTAAGCAAGTTAGGACTTGAAACTTATAATTTCTCAAACACCTAGCTTTTTCTGTAATTAATACAATTTATACTATGCCCTTGTTAGTAGTCTTCATGTTGGTCTCCCTCTCTCTCTCCTCATATATATATATATATGCGTATACATATATATGTATGTATATATAAAGGCCATATATCATCTCTAACAAGGTCTTATAGTGGAAGTCCAGATCACAGAATCATTACCACAAGCATCATTAACTTCTTAATGATGATGTCAACTTGTAAGAGAGGGGAGCATGAGGCAATGAGCTACTTTTCTTGTTCTCCCTTTTACCTCTTAAACAATAGGAACTCATGTTCACACTCTAATGGCTAAGCCTATCCACATTAATCTGTTCAGTATGATTGTGTTGACTATGCCCCTTGTCCTGTGTGTTCAATGAGAGGTGGAGAGCAGGACCAGGAATGAGCTTCTGGTGAGCTCTGAGAGCTGGGAATCTTTCTTTCTTTCTTGTCATTGGCTCTATCCCAGGCTTGATGTATTTGCCATCTGCTCACAGAGAGCTGAGCAGCACAGAGCTGTGGATGGACTGGGCTGCAGTGTTTGAAGCACTTCCCATGCCCAATCCCTCCTTCCTACACAAATTACTGCACTAGGTGTCTATGTTAGGAAGTGAAGATTTACAGAATTAATCATATTAGAGAATTTACAGAATTAATCATATTAGAGAAATAAGAGTAGACTCTTATTTCTTGTTCTGTCCATTCGTCATGACTTTCAGGAAACACAAGGAATAAGCCAGTATCATACTTGTTTCATTCTGCACATTTATGGTTATTAAAGAAGCTAATATTGTGTAACTTAAATTTCTTTCACACATGACAATATGATGACTTCTGGTTTTACTAAGTAAGCCTGAGTTAGAGTATATTTAACTTTTCAATAACTACTTTAAACCTAAACAGCAGATTCATAGTATATGAATGGAGAGATAGCTGGCCAGTATTTGGATTTGCATCAGATTTATAAAGCTGTTAGAATGAATATAACTCTAACAGTTTAAAAAGAAATAAGACAAAGTCCAGTGACATGCTGGACAGCTAGATTGATTTTCCAAAGACTATAGTAAAATAATTTAAGATAAATCATAGGGAAAAAAAAAAAAAAAAAAAAAAA